TGTCATATATCACCAAGACATCAGTGCAGGGGTCTTGAGATGTGTTTTTAGCATCTAGACATTCAGTGGAGGATTTCTCTCCAAGCTCTTCTTTAAAAATAGGTTGAAGTCGTTTTTCAAGGATACGCCATACGTTAGCTAAAGGATAATCCCAAGCTAGGTGTTTTAATGCACTTTGTAGAGGCAAAGAACCACCCGACGCACAGCGGCTTGTTAGATCTAGCATTCTGACCACTTTGAAGCAATAGTTGACTCAAAAATGAAAATTTGCTGAACATTTACTCCCCCCTCAGGCCATTCAAGATGTAGATGAGTTTGTTTCTTCATCAGATTTGGAGAAATGTAGCATTACATCAGTGTCTCAGCAATGGATGCTCTGCAGTGAATGGGTGCCGTCAGAATAAGAGGCCAAACAGCTGATAAAAACATCACAATAATCCACACCTGTCCATCAATTATCATCTTGTGAAGCAAAATGCAGCGTGTTTGCAAGAAACAAATCCATCATTAAGAAGGTTTTAAGTCCATAATCCATAATAACCCTTCCTCCAGTGAAAAAGTCCATCCCCTGTAGTCTCTCACATCAAAATCCACACACATATTTGTTGACTGTTTTGGCTTGTAAACAGCACTTGATCTGTGCATATTTCTCTCCTGATCCAGATGAGGTGACTTTTTACTGGAGACGGCAATATTTTAGATAGAGTGCTCATATTTTAGCCGGATAAAACGTCTTAATGATGCATTTGTTTCTTACTAACACAGCTTTTGGTTTCTCAAGACATTAACTGATGGACTGGAGTGGTGTGGATTACTTGTGGATTATTGTAAAGTTTTTATCAGCTGTTTAGACTCATTCTGACGGCACCCATTCACTGCAGAGCATCCATTGATGAGCAAGTGATCTAATGCTAAAGTTCTCCAAATTATAACATTTATTTTAATTAGAGAGAGTATGTGTGTGTATTGTGTGCGTCGTTACCTCATTGCTAAAAACTATAATGTTGCAATTAAGTAGCGAAGCTATTTTATAATATGTCAGTCCATGGTATCAAGATTAATATTACTTACACAATGACACCGGCACCATCCATAATCCATAATAACCCTTCCTCCAGTGAAAAAGTCCATCCCCTGTAGTCTCTCACATCAAAATCCACACACATATTTGTTGACTGTTTTGGCTTGTAAACAGCACTTGATCTGTGCATATTTCTCTCCTGATCCAGATGAGGTGACTTTTTACTGGAGACGGCAATATTTTAGATAGAGTGCTCATATTTTAGCCGGATAAAACGTCTTAATGATGCATTTGTTTCTTACTAACACAGCTTTTGGTTTCTCAAGACATTAACTGATGGACTGGAGTGGTGTGGATTACTTGTGGATTATTGTAAAGTTTTTATCAGCTGTTTAGACTCATTCTGACGGCACCCATTCACTGCAGAGCATCCATTGATGAGCAAGTGATCTAATGCTAAAGTTCTCCAAATTATAACATTTATTTTAATTAGAGAGAGTATGTGTGTGTATTGTGTGCGTCGTTACCTCATTGCTAAAAACTATAATGTTGCAATTAAGTAGCGAAGCTATTTTATAATATGTCAGTCCATGGTATCAAGATTAATATTACTTACACAATGACACCGGCACCAGCTGCAGTTGTTATGTTGCGAACCTTCTTAAACTGTTCTGTCTTTTCAGATAAGCAGTCAGCACAGAATCAATCTGCACCCCAGTCTCCTTGTATAGTCCGACCTAAGCAACGATCCCGGGCCTGTAGTGACCCTCACCGAGCGCAAGATGAGCCTCTGGAGCCGAGACCTGTCCCCGATCAGTGCTGCGAGCACAGGAACCTCAAAAGACGCACCCAACAAAGAGCAAAGACCAAACACAACACTCAAACCATGACGAGTTTAGGAGATCACCACACTGCTGAAGCGTCCTTCGCCCAGGAGCAGGAAAACACGCACGCGCTGGAGGTTACGCAGTACTTTTTCGAGGCAGTGACTCTGCAGATGGAGCGCTGGTATGAAAGGAAGATTGAAGAAGCACGCTGGCAGGCCAACCAGAGAGCCCAGGCCGACAGAGCCGCTCTGCTGGACAGAATAAGCTACCTTGAGGATGAACTCCGACTGCTGAGAACTAACAAACAGGAGGAGAGCTAGTACATAAGAGACCACTGGTGTAGCAGACACTGTAACGTCCGGATGAATTAGTGAAGTTCAATAGAGCAGCTAACACATGAAGATAACACTGCAGTAGTAAGCGTCAGGAGAAGTAGCATCTAAACAGATGTGGAGCCGAAACATACTCTTTGCAAGTACTTCAACTTAAGCTACACAAGTTTGATTTCATTTGCCATAACACAATTCATAATGGAGGGCAAATGCATTCTTAGCGCTGTTGCAGGAAGCCCTAGCATAAACTGAGGTTTGTTGCTGCCAGAGAAACACAAGAATGCACTTTATGTGCAGCGGGACTGCATGCTGTCAGAGCCCTGTTCAAGAATTTGTCTGCATTTGCACGCTTGTGTGGGTTATGTGTCTGGCTTTACAGACGTAACATCAAGACAAACCGCCACTGCCAAAGATCTGTTCAAACTCCAGGTTTAATAATGCACTACAAAGATAAGTCTGTTTTGTGAATGCAAATTCAAAGGACAAAAATTTTACATATACTGTATAATGTGTATTCTTAATATAAAGCATTAAGAATAAGGCATGAACACAGCTACTCCAGTGCTAGTACACAAATTTGGAGAAAGTGACTAAATGATGCCAGTACTTTGGAGATTTGGCAGATCATATAAAACCAGTAAACACTGACAAATAAAAGTAACAAAATCCATCACAGCAAACACTGATATAAGCAAGTATTAGTTTATTTTTGTAATGACTTTATTGCACAAGATGAAATGTCTTAACCTGTGATGTTTAATTGAGGACTTTGATGTAGTCTGTAGTTAAAGTCTTAAGAACTCACAATGTAACAAGTGTTTGTAACAGATTCACATGTGTGAATGTTTCATTTGGTAGATAAGTAATCTAATTTAATCGTTTTTAATCGTTCATTTAACAAAATTCGGAACACATGGGCAGGGAAAGACTCTGTGGTTGTGTAGAGGTTAAAGGGATAGTTCACCCAAAAATGAAAATTTGATGTTTATCTGCTTACCCCCAGGGCATCCAAGATGTAGGTGACTTTGTTTCTTCAGTAGAACACAAACGAAGATTTTTAACTCAAACCGTTGCAGTCTATCAGTTAATGTCTGAGCGCATTCACAACATCCGACGCCTGTACGTGCTCTGGCATAGTAGACATAGATATATATAAGTATATGCCTCATTAGTGACTGTTTCTATGGGCCGTGATACGTTCCAAAATGGCGGACGCGTCAACGTATCTGGAGCAGTCGAATAGGGAATCTATACATATCTATGGTAGTAGCTTCCGCATGTGCGCGTATACGTCACTCATTATTTGCACAGTGCAGAGAGATTGTGGACATGTTCACTGGCAGGGCAATGATCTAAAGATATTTAGAAGTACAGGTCATCACAATGGAAGACGATTTTGATATATCATCAGACAACGTGGAATTTTTTGCCCGACCGTATTTATCTGACGTCACGCGCCGGCTGTTGAGCACGCGCTCAGGACAGTTGGACATTGTGGTGGATCAGAGGTAAAAAACTATATAAATACTGTTCAGTTTCTTGCACAGACCGATCGTTTCGTGTCTTTACACATCAATGTATCGTCTCGAGCCGCAGGGTTTAATTTGGTTTTGTTTGTGTATGTTTTTTTTTTACTCAAAGCCGTGATTCCCATCCAAACAGATAAACATCAAATTTTCATTTTTGGGTGAACTATCCCTTTAAAATCAATGAAATATACTGAACTTTGATGTCGAAATAAACTACATTACACACTTTATTCTGGTATGGAAAGCCCACTGTCCACCATCCAATTAAACATGAATGTCATTTCGTATTGACTTTAAATATTCACAAATGTTGGATCATTTGATCACCACTGTGCGCTTGAACGACTCTTTTAACCTCACACTGCTCCATCAAGACTGATGTGTGGATTGTTGTAAGTACTGTTGAAATGATCAAAAAGTCAAAATAATGGTCACTATGATTTCAAACTGCTGTTTAAAGTTACGCTGACGTCTTTGCCAGTGGCTATTGATGATGAACTATGAAATCAAATTGTTTTTGATGCACGTCTTGACAAATGTTAACAACTGATATGTAATGACCATGTTTTGTTTTTTATATAAATGTATGACTACTCGAATAATTGTTTACAGCTGCTTCAAAGGGAACATTATTGTTTACTGTCATGCAGCTGTGTGATCTGTCACAAATTAATGTTTAATAAACTACATCTGTGTACATTTGTGAAAAAAAGAATCCATCTAGTGTCTCTGGTTGGAAAGAGTTTTGTTATTTGATCGGCCATAAAGGCCAGTTTTTGTCTTTATATGCACTTTACACAACAGTGAAATTTATTGTTTCATATATAAACTGTTTCGTTATTATAGTTTGATAATATATTACATATTTATGCACTAGTAAGTCCATTACTTGCCCTTGAGTGCTTTAAATACAAGAGAACAATGGCTAACATTTTGCACATTTTCCATCAACAAATGCAGTTATGAAATAAGTACTGTGTGGAACGTTTATTGGTATTCATAATGTAGCGTTTGCTGGGAAAATAATGCAGAAACTACATGCAGATGTCACAGCCACAGGTGCATTTGTTCTGACGTTATGTGATATTTCAACTACACCGTAATTATGACTCAGAGAAGTGAATGTATTTGGCTTTTATTAATATTCGGCAAAGTAAAAGAATGAGCACTCGTGCATTATAAATATATATACACAATAAAATGTCCGATTTTCTTTCACATTACAGTGTACTTTTCACCCAAAAATGAAAATTGTCATCAGTTACTCACACTCATGTCGTTCCAAGCCCATAAGACTTTTGTTCATCTTCAAAAACACAAATGAAGATATTTTAATGAAACCTGAGATTTCTGTCCCTCAATTTAAAATCCAATCACCCATAACACTAACACATTAACACAGACAAGACACAGTTTTCCAAAGAGACACGATGCTGTTATACTTTGCTTTGAAAAGATTTAATTTAGGCTTTTATTCACATATAAACATTGATCAACACGGAGCACAACAAATATGATAAACGAAAGCTCAAACTGCTTCATTGATGCATGAAAACCAATGAGGTTTGTTCTCATGTAAAAAGAGACATTAGTTTTTGTTTACCATATTTCATGCCCTCTATGTATGTGAGTTGATCAATGTTTATATGCAAATGAAAGCCTAAATTAAATCTGTTCAACATTTTGGTTGTGTGGACTTGTGTGTAATGGATGTAACCGATGACAGAATTTTAATTTCTGGCTGAACTATCCTTTTAATAAATGGTGAACACGTCGACGTTCTAGCATCCAGCCAACGCGAGAGATCTTCTCAAATCCTCCAGATGATTGTGCGCTTGAGTGATCATCATGCGAATCACATCCTGAGGAGGAAAACCATACAAAATGTACAATGCATGTAAATGGGGACCATTGTAAGGAGGACTCACACTGCCAGACATTCACTGTGACAAAGCAAACTAACATCATTCATTTTATATGAGAGCTGGCAAACTTCAGCTACATCACGACAGTGACTGTTGATGATATGAAAAACTTTATGCAACCAGAACTGAGAGGGTGAATATAGGGTCAGTAACACCCTTTTCATCAGAAAAACAGCTCACAACAAAGTCACTTTTAATCCAAGCAGCTTTCTGCTGGTGAAAATTCCAGATATGTGACCCTGGAGCACAAAACCAATAATAAGGGTCAATTTTTTGAAATTGAGATGTATACATCATCTGAAGGCTGAATAAATAAGCTTCCATTGATGTATGGTATGTTAGGATAGGACAATATTTGGCTGAGATACAACTATTTGAAAATCTGGAATCTGAGGGTGCAAAAAAAATCTAAATATTGAGAAAATCATCTTTAAAGTTGTCCAAATGAAGTTCTTAGCAATGCATATTACTAATCAAAAATTAAGTTTTGATATATTTACGGTAGGAAATTTACAAAATATCTTCATGAAACATGATCTTTACTTAATATCCTAATGATTTTTGGCATAAAAGAAAAATGTATAATTTTGACCCATACAATGTATTGTTGGCTATTGCTACAAATATACCCCAGCGACTTAAGACTGCTTTTGTGCTCCAGGGTCACATTAGCATAACTCGCGTGAAACTCCTAATTGTGCTGATTCCTGTTGAAATGACTGGACTTTGCCTGCAAAAACTCAAATGTGGCCGCACTTTTAAGCAGAGTTCACTGTTCAAGTTCTCTGCCATTAAATTTGAAGTAGGGCTGTGCAATTAATCGCATGTGATTGTCATGCGCATCTCGTCAGTAAAGCCGGTTCCGTGATTAGTAGTAAATCTCCATCACCTGTTTTCAGATGGAGCGGCATTTACTACACTGAGCATTTACTACCAATCACAGAACCGTTCACTGACAATTAGGCAATATCGCGTTCATAATCGAATGTGATTCATCTGCGATTATGAACGCGATATTGCCTAGCTTGTCAGTGAACTACAGCTCTGTGTAGTAAATGCCGCTCCATCTGAAAGCAGGTGATGGAGATTTACTACTAATCACGGAACCGGCTTTACTGACGAGATGCGCATGACAATCGCATGCGATTAATTGCACAGCCCTAATTTGAAGGTCATTATTTTTTCCTTCATGCACTTTCGTGCATGTACACATCTTTGGAGTGCTGGGTCTTGGGAGGAGGGCGTGTCTAATTAAGCAGTTAAAGAAATAGTTCACCAAAAAAAAAAATTAACATTTGCTGAAAATGTACTCAGGCCATCCAAAATGTTTTCGTTCACCAATGGATGCTCTGCAGTGAATGGGGGCCGTCAGAATGAGAGTCCGAACAGCTGATAAAAACATCTCAATAATCCACACACCACTCCAGTCCATCGATTAACATCTTGTGAAGCCAAAATCTGCGTGTTCATATAAAAAAAATCCATCAAGACGTTCAAATCACTGCTTCCGGCTAAAATAGAGTCCATTCTCCACAATAAGGCTTCCTCCAGTGAAAAGTGTGACGTTTTAATCAGCGGTTTGGACTCTCATTCCGACGGCACCCATTCACTGCAGAGGATCCGTTGGTGAGCAAGTGATTTAATGCTACATTTCTAAATTGCTGAACAAGAAGAGCCCACCTGGTCTGTTTCACTCTTGTTCCTCTTGAACTCTTCTCTGGCCCAGTCTCTTAAGTATCTGCGATCAGACTCGATCGGTATTTTGCGGATGGATCGGAGCAGGTCTCTGTAAACCCCCAGAACCTTCTGTCTCTGCAAAAACTGACCACAACACCACATGAAAACACGCTTGACTACAACATCTACATGTGGCCATACACACACGGCGCGTTCTCCATTGTTGGCCTGTGCATTAACGCAACAGACAAACGTCTTTATCCGCTGCGTCGTCGAGCTTTTAAAACCCTGCGTTCAGTTGCGCTCCGTCCAGCTGTTTTTGACAGCTTTGTTTTTTACCTGTTTGAGACTCAGAGCCGCTGCTGGTAATCGGGACACTGCCATGTTGAATAACAAAGGGGGCGGAGCTCCTTCTTCTTCTTTGGAATTGTTGGCGTATTCCGCACCGTAGGCACATACCGCCACCAACTGTTTATACACATACATGGATGCTAGTCCCGTCTCTATTCATATTTTAAAATATTTTATTTTATTGTTAATTTTATTTCGGGTTCACCCAAGCTGTATTTGTGGCTGCTGCGTGTTCAGCTCCCATGCCAAAAAACCCAGCTTGTGTGTTCCCCTATTTTTTTGCTTTATTTATTTAATTACTAAGCAAATTCGTTTGTTTAATCCTGTTTCTACTACATATTTCATTACTATTCTTTGATTAATACCTTCTTTTAATCATTTTCCTAATATCCAATGTATCTTCTTTTTTTCTTTATTATTACCTTTTAAGTTCTTTATCATTTTAATTCTCTCTAGCTATATTATATTTCCGACATTTTAATATTACATGTTCAACGGTTTCTATTAGCCCACAAAAAGCACATTTACCTGTAATATGTTTACCCATTTTGTATAGTGATGCATTTAGTCCTGTGTGCCCAAATTGTAATCTATTTAAAATCACCTCATCTTTTCTACATCTTCCAGAATGGTATACTTCTTTAACTGATGAATTAATTTTATAATAAAATCTTCCTGTATCAGCTATGTCCCACTTCTTCTGCCACTCTTTTTGAACATTTGATTTAATAATTGATTTACTTTCTCCTCTTCCTAATGGGACTTCAATCTCGATATCCTTTTTTGGTTGCCTTTTTTGCTAACTGATCTGCTATTTCATTTCCACTGATTCCTGTGTGAGCCGGTATCCAACAACATTTGACATCTATTCTCATACTATTTAGAGATTTCAATGTCATATATATATCATTTAAAATGTCTTCTCTGTAGGATTTATATGAAAGCAAACTATTTAGCGCTGACATAGAGTCTGAACACATAACTACTCTATCTGGTCTAACATCTTCTATCCACTGTAATGCAACCATTATTGCAACTAATTCTACTGTATGTATTGCTAAATTATTTGATAATCTTTTGAATATGCTTATTTCGAATTCTGGAATAAATATGGGGGCGGAGCTCAGACGTGTTTTTGTTTTTTATTGGTCAGAATCAGTGACGTCGCAATGTTCGTCTTCTTTTTCTTCTTCTTTTTTGTGGCGGATTGACTACCTTTGTTGCATATCGCCACCTACTGGAATAATATCTAACTGTACCTATATATTAATTTACATATTTTAAAAGCTCACATTGATTCCCTATCTATCTATCTATCATCTATCTATCTATCTATCTATCTATCTATCTATCTATCTATCTATCATCTATCTATCTATCTATCTATCTATCTATCTATC